AAGCCCGCACCCCACACCCTGCTCTGCACCAGAGCGCAGCCCCTCACTGAGCAGCAGCCCCCAGGCCCCAGCCTAACACTTGTCTGTCTACAGCCCAGAGAGAGGCCTGGGGCAGCTGTAGGACCAGGGCCTCCGAGGAGGGTGGCTGAGGGGTGGGCACAGGAGAGCAACAGCGTCTCAGGCTGTCCTGCATCCACGGTGGGCCTGAAGATGGATCCCACCAGGGAGCGCACTAGTCCTGGGGGTCAGTGAGGGCTCTGGGGCGGGACGGTCTCTGCGGGATCCGACCACCCAGCATTGCAGTTGAGCGGAGTGGGGGTCGGGGCGCTCCCGCGTCCCCTGGGTCTCATGCCCTTCACAGCACTGCCCCACCGTCACCTGGACTGTCACTGCTGGGCCTCTCCCACCGCCCCAGGCCACAGAAGGGTGCGTGCCAACCCCCTCCTTTTCCAAGTGGGGAGGCCAAGGCCCAGGGAGGAGGCCCCTGGCCCATCACTCAGCGTGGGGACCAGGCCGGACACACCGGGGCTTTGGCTCCAGGCCGGGGACCCCCACCCCAGGCCTGGGAGGGAGGTTGACTCTGCAGCCCTGCGGCCCCCACAGCCCCTCCTGTGCCTGCCCAGCTCCGCTTCTCGAGAAAGGCTATTCTCGGGTCTTCCCAACAGGTGTGGAGCACGGAGCATGAGTCCACGCTGATGTCAGCCTCCCAAAGCGTCCTGGCTGGGCCTCCAGGCCACCTCAGTCCCCAGCTGTGCTGAGCGGCCCAGGGCCCAAGACTGACAGGCGTTTCCGGGGCTGTTGCATCCTGGGCTGGCTCCAGGCTGGGGCTGTCACCCTTATCCAGGGACCAGAGAGAGGGCTGGAGAGTGCCCCTCCCTCCCCTGCAGGGGAAAAAACCCTGACACGGTGGAGGGGGGAAGCCCTCCAAGCTCGGGGCGGCCCCACCGTGCCTGCACCCCGTTACCATGTAGTTGTTGGTTCTGAGCTGGGCTTTTGGGGAGGAGATGCCACCCTGCACGAGGCCAGTGCGGAGCCCGTTCCCAGGCGCTGGGTGCTGTGACCCCCAGGTTCCTGGGGGCGCTGGGAGGCCCTGGGAGGTTGGATGCCTTGTCCTGGCCACCTGGCTCCGGCCCTGTATCCCGCTCACGCTTTGTCCCAGCATTCAGCAGAGCGCGTGGCACTTTATGCGGCCTCAGCAGACAGCTCCCAAACACTGTGCGCCTACCTCGGCCACCATTCCTACAAAGGAGGCGCTGAGGACCCCATTCAAAAGGGCTGGGGTGGCTTCTGGGACCTCTGGCTCCTGGGGAGGGGCCCGGCCTCCAACAGGCAGACACAGCCCAGGCTGTCTCCTGGGCCGCCACCTTGGGCTCAGAGGGGCTGGAGTCAGAGGTGCCGCTGGCAGGCAGCGTCCCCGCCCCAGAACCGTCCCTGGCCCCCGCCCCCAGCTCTGCCCACAGCCTCTTTGCTCCTTGGCCATGAGGAACGAGCCCGGGGCTTGGAGGGGCCTTGAGGTCTCCGGGTCCCCATCACCGACAGGCTCTAGGAGGAGGCCTGCGTGGAGGCGGAGGGGCAGTGCTGCACAGAAGGAAATTATGCATTTTGGCTTCCAACCGCCTCTGCAATGACATCATCAGAAGACTTTTACTGACTGGGCAATAAAACAGCTCATCACCGTGAGCACGAGTGCTTCGGCAGAGTGGCTGCCAGCCTGGCTGCCCTGGGAAGGTCACTCGGGAGCCTGGAGGAGGCTGCCTAGCAGGCAGCAGAATCTCTGGGGGCTGAGCCCAAACACGGCATCCCTGGGGGTGGTCGTTGGCCCTGGGCTGAGTGCAGCACAGAACCCCAGGGCTAAGCTTCCCCTCCTACTGTAGCTACAGTGCTCCTGCCAGGCCCCGGAATGCTGCCCCGTGGAAGCCACTGCCTGAGCATGAGCCAGGCCATGCCCGCCTCGCTTCCTGAGGTCAAGGTGGGGTTGGCTCAGCGGAAGAGCTGGGGCATCGTGTTGGGGCCCGGAAGGGAGGCAGGAAGGGTGGCTCAGGAGAAGGTCTTGGAGTGGAGGGGCCAGGGGACCCACGAGCCTCGAAGAAGGCGTAATGAGGCTTTAGCAGGGGAGGGAGGAAGAAGAGGTCCTAGATCGGGGGCTTCTGGTGCCAGCCCTTGGGCGGAGCTGCCTGGGCCGCGGCTCCCAGCTTGGCGTTTGCCCCCAGCAGGAAGCGGGACGGGCGTGATCCATGGTCTCGATGGGAACACGGGCCACTCAAGGCATGGGATTTCCTGGCTTCAGGGAGCCCTGGAGACCACCAGATCCAGGAATTCCCACCTTGGAGTGGGGGGTAAAGAGGAGGCACCCGGGGTGGAAAGCTCCCCAGTGCTCTGACGTGGCTCCTCTGAAGCAGCCGTCGGGCAGACCCAAGCCCCGAAAGCCTGGCTGGTGCACCACGCTCCCCAGTCACAGCCGGGAGGTCCCCAGCCCGGGAGGGCACCCTTCCCACGGAGCCCGGCTGAGGATGGCGCAGGGCGGAAGGGTGTGGCGTGAACACCGGCATCCGTGTCTGTGGGGCGAGGCTGGGCTGCACGTTCCAAGGCAGGACGGTCGGGGTGGCTTTGCCCTCATGTCCCACCCCGTGAAACCAATTGCCACACAGCTGGCTGCTTGGAAACACCGCGTCATGCCCTCATGGTTCCCCGTGTCAGGATAGGCCTGGCGTCGGGCTCTCCACTCAGTGACTCCCTGGGCCGACATTCAGGTGAGACCCGGCTCCAGCCTCCCCGGAGGTCCGGCCTCTGCCAGGAGAGTCACATTTTCGGCGGAACCCGGCTCCTCGTGGGTGGAGAGCCGCGGTCCCCACTCTCTGTGGCTCCTGGAGGCTGCCGGGAGACCCCGCCACGTGGGCCGGCGCGCCGTGCGCAGCAGGCTGTGGCGTCCTCGCAGGCCGGCAGGATCGGTCCCTGTAGCGGCGTGACGGGGCCGGCCCAGCCAGCACCACCGTCCCTTTGAGTGACTCGAGGTCAAAGTTCCCCTCCTGGGAGCCACGCCGTCCTGCCGGCCCGCCCTCACCAGGGAGACGTGGCAGCAGGACGTTCCCAGGCCTGGAAGCCGCCGGCGCTGCCCACCTTTTGCTTTCAAAGGAAGTCAGAAGACTCTGCGCCCCTCGCTCTGCAGGGAGAGCAGGGAGGCCCCTGAGACCGACGCCCCTCAGCAAAGGCCTGAGGTGCTGAGAGGGAGCGGATGAAGCTTTGCCACCTCAGGCCCGAGGGCATCCCCGTGAGCCCCGCCCAGCCCTGCCCCGCCCTGCCCAGGCCCAGCTCTCACCCATCCCCCACTAGGGGCAGCCATGCCCAGCCGGCGCTCCTGGTGGGAGCATTTCTGGCAGGAGCCATGCCCCAGGTGGGTGATGCCCGGGTCCAGGAGATGAGCGCCGTGCGAGCCTGCTGTCTGCTCAGACAGCTGCAGACTCTGAGTCAATCATTTATCAGGTCCCATCATAAATTCAAGGCATCCCTCCAAGGTTTGAAGAGCTCAAATTTGACTTCCTCGGGAGTTTTACGAGGAGCAGGAGCCATTTGTCAGGGTGGACGGCTCCATCTGTTCCGGAGGTTCCCGGCGAAAGCGAAGCTGGGATGGGAGGTCGGTGCCGTCAGGAGGACATGCGTCCTCCGGGGACCAGCAATTTGGCCAGGAGAGTGCACATGGGGGTGCTGGGGGGCAGGGGGAGGGAGGGCACAGCCAGGTTACTGAGCAAAGAAACCCTGGCCGACTTGAGCTGCGGCCAAATGCAGCTGCCGAGGCCTTGCGGCTCAGGCGGCACCCCATGACCTGGCCACCAGGCCTCTTCTGGAGGGACACTCGGCCCATGGGGCCCGGACCCTCAGGGGAGAGTCACCCAAGCCTCCCTACAACCGCCAGCCTGTGGCGTGTACCCGCCAGCTGCAGGATGTGGGGTCAGATCATGAAGCAGGGATGGCGGTGTCCCGCCTCCTGAACACCCCGGCCCGGAGCTGGCTGGAGCTGGCTCAGGGGAGCCAGGAGGGACATGCTGTGCTGAGGCGGCCGCGAACCTCGCTGGGCTCCTGGGTGGGGGGTGCTGCACTGCTGCCAAGGGCTCCGGGGCTCCCAGGTGGGGTGGGGGCTGCATCTGCCACGGAGCCCAAAGCCTCACGGGGCTGCAGCTTGGGGTTCATTGGGAAACTGCCCGAGGAGTGAGGCTGGCGGGGTGACGGTTCTTCCAGAATTGACCATTTGAGCCCAAGTCCGGGGGCCAGAACAGCCACCTCCCCCATCTGTGGCACAGGTTTGAATCTGTCAAGTGGCTTCGTGGCCACCACCTCAGAATCTCCAAAAGCAGCAGCAGTGGGAACCATCCCCCCCACCGAAGCTTGTGAAAATGCAGATTCCTGGGTGGCACTGCCGGACCCTCTGTTTGGGGGTTCTAGAGCAGGGGCTTCACTGCATCCTCCTACAGCCGCTCTGGGGTGGTGAGCTCTCCATCTGCACAAGCATTTAACCAAAGCACGCAGCTTCAGGCGACAGGAGGGCAGGCCGGACCAGATGACCTCCAGCTCCGTCCCAGATCCGCTGACTGCCTAGGGGTCACAATCACCTGATTCTCAACAGGGTGGTGGACGCAGGCACCAGGACAACACCAGGACGACAAAGCTGGTGGGCGCACAGGGCCCTTGGGGTGAGGGGTGCTGCACAGTGAGCGCCCGAGGGCCTTCATCACACCCTGCTCGGGGCCACCAGCTCCAGGGGGCCACTGTGGCCTGCGCCCCGAGGAGGAGGCCACCCCCTACGGGTATCCAGAGCCTGCTGCCATGTTTGTAAAAGCTACACACAGGGAACTCAAAAGTCCCTGGCCCAAAGGAAACAAAACCCCAGAGAGCGCCTGCCTGGCCCACCGGGAAGAGCCATCTTGGCGTCCCATCCGCACTAGGACTCAGCTTGGCAGCCTGCGCCCTGCAGCGTTCAGTTCCTTTCCAAACGAGTTTGACGTTTTTTATAAAAAGCACCTTTGTAACAATCCCAGAATGAATATTTATAGGGCAGCGATGAGGGAGCCGGCTAATTGTGGCTGAGATGCTGCCGCCGGCTCCCAGAGGATGTGCACGGGAGAGCAAAGCTGCTCCCTTAACCCCTGGGCTCGGGGCTGCGCGCCGGGTGCGGCGAAGAGGCCAGAAGGAGCCCTCTAACCCTAGCAGACCCCAGGCTAGTGCTATGACTGAGGGCATTCAGGGCTGGGGAGGGTCTCAGAAATAAGGCCCTTGGGAGGCGGTGAGAGGCCACGGCCAAGAGTAAAGTGAGAATCGGAGAATTCGGCCGCAGGCCCTCGGTCTCCTCTGTCCGGGGCTGGGTTACAAGCTTCGGGTGGGGCAGGAGGCCGGGAGGCGAGGCCCAGTGTGGGCGTCCATCAGGGCGGCTTGGACAGGACAGCCCAGGACGCCTGTTGTCCACCTTGGAGAGCAGAAGCTCTGAGTTCTCCCCCAGCCACCTCCTTCGGTGGCACCCCGGGAGAGGGGCAGGGACCAGCTGCCCAGAGTGGGGCCGGGCGTAGTTTGGTTCCGGAGCTGGAGGCAGCTGCGAGAGATGCTGGTGGAATCCACAGGGATGGGGTCCCCTTGGAGCCGTGGGGCTTTGCCGACGGCATCACTGTGGCCCAGGACGCAGGGAACAGAAGTGGGTGGCTAGAATCAGGTCCTTCTTTCTCCCTGGAAATGGGAATCTGTCTCGACCCAGAAAAATACCTCTGCAAGAGCCTGTGGCCTCCCTGGGGTGAGGGACCTGCCAGCTCCTTCTCTGCCTGTGGTCCCTGTCCCCTGCAGGACCAGCCTGAGTGGGTGGGAGCCAGGCACGCTTCCCGATCACCTAGCAGTGCTGGGGAGGCTCCCCACCATGGGTGTCTGTGGAGAGAAGCTCCTCTCAGCCCAAGCACTGCTCCCCACCCCTGACCCTGCTGATCCACTCACCCCTGCAAAGATGAGCGAAGCTGCAGCTCCAAGGGGCTTAGGCAGGCAGCTGAGAGGGGCTTCGGGCAGCTGACCGGGGCAACGGAGCCTGCTGGGCAGGAGCTGGCCAGGAATCACAGAGCACAGGGAACAGGGGCCTCTGGAGGCCGTGGGGTGGCCCCTGGTCCACGCCAGCGGCAGGGAGTCTCCCAGGGGAGCCCTACTCATCCTCCGCACTCGACGATGACCTTCTGGGCTGGAGGGTGTCAGAAGATCCATGAGGGAAGGGGTGGGACAGTGGGTCTCCTATGGCTGCTGTAACAAAAGTCACACGTTTATTCTCTTGCCGTTCCGAAAGCAAAAGAAATCTGAAGTCCGGGAGTCGGTGGGGCTCACGGGCTGGGTGGCCCTGACTCCCAGGCAGAGGTCACTGAGAGAGGGTTGGGCTGCACTCTGAGCTGGGCTTATCTTTTTTAAAAAACAGAGGTGAAATTCACTAACAAACTGACTGTTCAATGAGTGTGGTGCAGTGGCATTCAGCACATCCGAAACGTTTGCAGCCACCACCTCTGTCAACGCCCCGACACTTTCATCGCCCCGCCCCCCCGCCCCCCAGCTCCGGTGCCCCAGAGGCCGCCCCTCCCGTTCCTGCCCCACCTGGCTCTGCAGAGCTGCCATCAGCTGAATCCTGCAAGGGGCAGCCTCTGCACCTGCCTCTCCCGCTGAGGGTTCCAGGCACCTCATGTTACTTCGAACGTCCCCGCGCCACCCCTGTTTAGGGCCAGTGCTATTCCCCTGCATGGACATGCTGAGCTTCATTTATTTAGAGACGGAGTCTCGCTTTGTTGCCCAGCCTGGAGTGCCGTGGCATGATCTCAGCTCACTGCAACCTCCGCCTCCTGGGTTCAAGCGATTCTTTTGTCTCAGCCTCCCACGTAGCTGGGACTATGGGCACCCACCACCACACCCGGCTAAATTTTGTATGTTTAGTAGAGACGAGATTTCATGATGTTGGCCAGGCTGGTCTTGAACTCCCAACCTCAGGTGATCGCCTACCTCAGCCTCCCAAAGTGCTGGGATGACAGGACATGCTTTGTCTATCATCAGCCCACAGACCTGCGGCTGCCTCCGCCTTTTGGCTACTGTGAATAGTGCCACTGGGAAAACTCCCGTGTGCCTATTTGTTAGACTACTTCTTTGTATTCTGGGGAGCATGTGCTGTATTAGTCAGGTCTTGCATTGCTGTAAAGATAAACCTGAAGCTGGGTCATTTATAAGAAGAGGTTTAGTTGGCTCATGGTTCTGCAGGCTGTACAGGAAGCATGGGGCTAGCATCTGCTTGGCTTCTGGTCAGCCCTCAGGAAGCTTACAATCATGGCAGATGGCGGAGGAGCAGGCTTGTCACACAGCCAGAGCCAGAACAAAAGACAGAGAGTTGAAGGGGAGGCACTACACGCTTTTCAACACCCAGATCTCTCGAGAACTCGCCGTGGAGACAAGCGCAGGGAACCCAGCCGCAAGGGATCTGCCCCAGGCCCCACACCCCCAGGCCCCAGCTCCAGCACTGCGGCTCACATCTAAACGCAGGCTTTGGAGAGCAGGTGCAAGTGCTGCCGTGGGCCCAGGAGTGGAATTGCTGGGTTTTATGGGTTCATTTTTGGAGGGACTGCCAGGCTGTTTCCACGGTGGCTTCACCTGTGTGGAGTGGTGAGGGGTAGAGTGAAGGAGGACCCATGGGTGGCTGGGTGGCAGGGACAGGGCTTGGTCAGGAGCCAATACCCTGCTCCCTGCAGGAAACAAGAAGGGCAGAGACCAAGAGAGCCCCACATGTTCACGGCCACCCTGTACCGACACAGCTGTGGGGTCAGCTCCGGGGACGTGGCCTGCTCAGCCTCAGTCCTCTGTTGGGGCCACTGGTCTGGGCCCAGTGGCGGCCTCCGCTGGGACACAAGATGCCATGGAAAATACTGGCGTCGGGAAACCCGAGAAACCCGCCCCACAGAGCATCTTGGCTGTCTGGGGCTTTGTCCTGTAGCGGTGGGTGATTAGGGACAGCTCGGGTCTGGGTAGCTGCAGCAGAATCCTGCAGACGAAGTGGGAGCAGCTCCCATCACAGCCACCCCTGACTGGGACCACAGCTCCCCAATGGCTCCCCCGCCTCTGGGGTTGGGCATCCTGGCAGGTGCCCCCACCCTCCGTGGCCTGACCCTCCAAGGGCACTGGCCCTGCCTTACACCTCCCCCACTGAATAAGCCCCAGCCTCACCCCACTCGCAAAGCTGAACACATGAACGTGGATTCAGCCAGAGTCCTCCTGCCCTGCCCACAACCCAGCTGTTCAGATCGATGGATTGATCGATAGATTCATTCATTCATTCACTTGGTCCTCCGAGCTCCAGTGTCTGAAGGCTGAAGGGAGGTAAGGCAGCAGCCCTGCCCGGGGCCTTCCCTGAGCTCCCCCGTCCTCGTCACCCCCGAGGGGGTGCTGCGGCTCCTCTTCCCAGGTGAGGAAGCCTAGATCGGACAGGTGAGAACCCTGCCCTCATTCACAGCCAGGCCCAGGCTCGGAGGGACCTCCCCTTCACCAGGGCACAGGGATGCTGGTGCCACGGGGCCACCTCCCCAATCTGTCTTGCTGGCGGCAGGAATGCCAAGGACATGTGGGCAGCAGGACCCTCCCCTGGACGAGGGTCCATCGCAGGGTGTCTGCCCCACTGGCTGAGGGTCCCCCTCTCCCCGGCAGCCAGGACCTGGTCATAGCTGCTCCTGGGACCCTCACCCTGACTGTGTGAATCTCTGCCCATGATAAAGACCCCAACCCACAGCTGTGGGGGGTGCAGGAGGAGGGTGTGGGTCACATTCTAAGCACAGACATCCCAAGGGGGTTGTGATGCCACCGCCGGGCCCTGGGGGCTAAGGGGTCACTTGGGACACTCAGTGGTGGCCCAGGGTGAGGCTGGAATCCAGGATCAGGTGGGTCCTTCCCAGCAATTCAGCCCCCTTCCCAGGCTGGATGGGTGTCCCTGTGGGAGCTGCCATGGCGTGGGGCCTCCTGATCGCCCTTGGCTTCCGGGAGACTTTGGCTCTCCTGCGCCCACCCCCCGCTCAGCGCGTGCAGTGAGCTCCCCTCATGCCGGGTGCGCTGTGGCCAGAGTCAGCATGTGCCTCCACTTACCCAAATCCCAGGCCCCTCGCTGGGAGCTGTCCCCAGCTCCGGGACCCTCTGGGATGGGCCGCAGCGTCTGCGTGAAGGAGCCTTTCTCCCACCGCTCTGGCCGGGGACGGCCTCTTCTGCGCCACGCAGGCCACCATGTGGGGGCTCCCGCTCTCCAGCCCTGCTCCCCTTTGGCTGCACTCAGGGTTCTGGGGCTGGAGCAGGTTCAGATCTGGGGACAGACTAGGATGCAAGGGCAGGCAGGCAGGCTCTGGGTCTTTGAGTGCTGGGCAGCTGGTTTTTCCTCCTGAGCCTCAGTTTCCCCACCTGCAAAATGGTCTCAGAAGGCTCCCTGGTGATGGGATGTCCCCCTCCCAGGGGGTGCGCCCTGTTCCCCAGGGCCCAGGCCGTAGGGCCCACCCTGCCCCTCTGATATCACTGGTGGGGGCTGTTCATTCACCCTATCCAGGACTTCCCTGACCTCTGACCTGTCCCCCAGGGCCCAGGCCTTCTGACTTCTCCCTTGCTCCTGTGACCACATCTGCTCCACAGTGAATCTTTCGGGCAAACTTTCAAGGCACGGCCAGAACTGGGCAGCCCTCCCCAGGGCACCGTGGCTGGGCAGGGCCTCCTGATGCTCCAGCCTCTGCCCTCCGCCCTCGCCCTCAGCAGAGCAGCCACAGGGGCCCTGCCACAGCCATGCCAGCCTGTCCAGGCCTGTGCCCCTCAGCAGCACTTGCAAAGCCCTGGCACTGGCCTACAAGGCCCGGCGTGGTCTGACTCTGCCCGAACTCCAGCCCCAGGCCACCCATCCACCACCACTGCCCCGGTGCAGCCATGCCAGCCTTTTGCTGCCCGCTGGACATGCCAGGGCCCCCTTCCCGCCTTCTGGCCGCTGCCTCCCTGTGCATGCTCTCCGGGCTGCTCTTCCGGGAACCTTCCCCGCCTGCCCCTCCGATATCATTGCGGGGCCTGCTCATTCACCACCCCCAGGCCTTCCCTGACCTCTGACCTGCAAGGCCATCCCAGGCCCTGCCTACTCTCCGGCTGCTCCTTCTGGCCGCCATGCCCAGTGCTGGGCCTGTCTCCGAATTTGCTGGGTTGTGCATTTTCTCTCTCCCCTGCTGTCCGACATGGCGCCAGCTACACGAGCCTTCTGAAGCCGAAACAAATGAAAGCTGCGCTAAGTAGAAGATCCGGGTCTACAGTGGCACCAGCCGGTTCCCGAGTGCTCGGCAGCCACTCGTGGCCAGTGGAAGCCACGTGGGATGGGGCAGAGCACTCACCGTCATGGCGCGTGGTCAGTCCTGCAAGGGCGGGGTGAGCCTGCTGTCCCCTGCTTGGGTCCCAGCTCAGGTGTCCCTGTGGGGTGAGGGCTTCGGTGGTCTTCTGCTCGCTCCTTCATTCGTTCACACTTGAAACCACCTGTAGACACTAGGGGAAAGTCTGGGGACCTACGCCACCTCTCCCCTTTCTTCCCCTCTGCCCCCACCCCCTGCCCCTTCTCTCCCCTCTCCCCTCCCTCCTGTCTCTCCTACCCACGGCGGCCTCCCTTTCGAACCCTGGTGGAGTGGGCCTCGGGCAGCATGGCCTGGGCATCGGGGGCAAGGGCAGCTCCGGGACATGGTGGGGGCAAGACAGGCTGGACCCAGCTCTGATCCATGCTGGGTGTGGGTGCTCGGGCAAGTGAGCACCCACCTTGAGCCCCGGTTCCTCCTCCGTAAAGTGGGGAGAGCAAAATGCCCTCCTCTTACAGTGCCTTGAGCTCAGCGTAGAGCCCCGGAAGAAGCTTCTGGAACACCAGGCAGCCTAAGCACTGGGTGCCAGCTGCTACTGCGAGGCTGGGGCTGTGAGTAAATGGGGAAACTGCTCTGTCCTCTGGCTTCGTCCTTGGGACCGTGGCGACCTGGGGGTCTGGCCACCCACACCAGCCCTTCTCCCGGAAGTGACGGCCGTGTGCCTGTGCCCTTGTCCGTGGGTATGGGGCTGTCCAGGAGGGTGATTTATGACCTTGTCCGCCGCACCACCCCCTCACCACCACAGGCCACCCGAATCCTCGATGGAGCCGCCTGCACAGGCCTGCACTCCGCTCCCCATCTCCCCCACTGACCCCAGCTGCAGGTCTGGCCTGAGCCCTCACTGTTGCCTGGAGAGGGCAGGTTGAAGGAAGCGGGGTGCGGGGGAGGGGCTGGCAGGGGGCGTTTGGACGCTGCTCTCCGCCTGCTCTCACACTGCCAGCGGGAAGCCGAGTGGCTACTTAGTTCCCAGAAAAGTGCTCAGAGCTGGTGGAAGCTTGAAGCCTCCTGGCCTCATTCATGGTGAGACGTGGGGTCTTCAGCGGGGCGTACAGGGCTGCGAGCAGGGCCTGGCATCACCCAAGAAGCCTCTGGGCAGGGGTAGGGGGTGCCCCTTCGTCCCCTGATGTCGCTGGCTGGACACCATGTCCCAGAGCTGCCCTTGCCCCTGATGGCCCAGGCCATGCTGCCTGAGGCCCATTCCACCATGGTTTGAAAGGGAGGCCCCAGTGGGTAGAAGAGACGAGAGAGAGGGGAGAGGGGAGAGAAGGGGGGGCAGGGGGAAAGAGAGGGGAGAGGCGTCTTAGGCCCTGACACCCCAGGGTGTCTGTCTGTGTCGCAAGTCTGGCTGGGGCTCCAGCTCCATGGCTCTGCAGAGCCGGCCTCGGGGTGTGGGGAAGGGGCTGTGAGCCCAGGAGTTGAACCTGGAAGAGGGACCCCTTCTCAGCTCCCACAGGCCATCCTGGGGGACGCGGGTTCCTCACAGGGGTACCCTGGGATTAGATGTAGCTGAGCCTGTTCTGAGCAGTGTGGGCTTCCCAGCCCTGTGCCCCACACTGGCCAGAGCCAAGGGGATACCTTCCCAAGCCCGGAAGGCGGTGGGGACGTTTCTGAGGTGATTTCTGAACAGATGACCTATGCTCTGGACAGAATTGATGAATAGCAAAGGTCATTGTCCCCAACACATGGGCCTGCACCTGCCGCCAACCATTGGGCCCTGGACCACTGCAGTCCGCCACCATTCCACATCGTGGTCCCTGGTCCTGTGGGGCCCCAGAGAGACAGGACGAACAGCCAGCGTCACACAGCCTGTGAGGATGGTCTGCCAGTCCTGGCCTCCGGTCCTGAGTCCAGGCCCCGTCCCAGGCCCCGTCCCAGGCCCACGTCTGTTACGTAATTCAGGCATGAAATCCAGAAGGGGGAGCTCCTGAGCCCGACCAGCATCGGGGATTGGGGTCTCCCCATCACACACCCTTGGTGGCAGGGTCTGGCTGGTGGTGGAGGGGCAAGTAGGTGGACCTTGCCTCTGTCCAAGGTGACAGCATTTGTCCTGACTTGGGGTTGGCTCGAGAGTCTTTGGAAACCCAGGTGGCTCCATCACCACCTGATCCTGACCCCAATTCTGGGCAAAAGGGCAGAGCCGACAGGGGACCCAGGAGTGGGTGGCCCAGGTGGGCTCAGCCTACTGGGGGCCCAGAGCTGCGTAGGAGGCCGTAGCCTCCTGCCCCTACCCCCTAACCCTGGCCGTGCACCCTGGGAGATCCCCAAGTCTCCCCAGGGCACCTAGGAGCCGGCTGGGTGGCATGGAGGCCGCTGCCCGGCTACCGGCTACCAAGGAGGCGCCTGTGTGCTGGGCTGTGCTAAAAATAGCCGGGGGATCTCGGCAGGGACAGCCGGTGGGAGGCCTGTTGGGGAGGGGCGGGAGGGGCCGGACAGCAGCCCCGGCCCGGGACCCGCCGTCAATGGCGTGGGTGCTCCCACCCTGTTCCCGGTGGCCGGGCCAGCCACGGCCCAGCTGACAGGCTATTTTTTCCCCTGCTTGACTAAATATGGTCAGGGAGTGCAGCCCGAGGGGGCCACTTGGCCAGGCCCGCGTGTTTGGGATGCTTGGCCGGGTATATAAGAACTGCAAAGGTGAGGCCGGCTCCTGACCCGGGGGGGCCCCCACGCCCGCTCTGGCCTCTCGGGTCAGGCCCTCCCCTCCCCTCCCCCGCCGCCTGTGTCTCGGGAGCCGGCTGTGTGCGTGTGAGAGCCCGCCCGCCCGTGGGACCTTCCCTTTTGTTCGCCCTGACCTCTACCTTCTCTACCTTGTGCTGACCCCGCTGGGGTGCAGGGGCTCCCTGCAGAGGAGGCCGGGCTCAAGGTGTGCGGCTTGGCTGCCTCTCCCTAACTCTGCACCAGCGCCTCCTCCCTCTCCCTCTCTCTCTCTCTTTCTCTCTCTCTCTCTCTCTCTCTCTCTCTCTCTCTCTCAAGATCTCCCTCCCTCTAGGTCTGCGCTGCTGCAGGAGGGCTGGGGGAAGGGCAGGGGTGTGGAGAGGGGGTGCCTGGTGTCTTCTTTCTCTCTCTGCCCCCCTCAAGTGCGGACGCATGGATCTCCGGCCCCCACCCCTGCCTTCGCGATTGGCTCCCGGAGGAGGTGGCTGGTGCGGCCGCTGCTGCAGCATCTCCTAGGGAGCCGCGACCCTGCGCCCGCCGCCGCCGCCGCCGTCACCAGCCCGGCCCCAGGGGTGCCCCAGGCTCCTCGGTGAGTCCTGCTCAGCCCGTCGCCACGGCCGGGCCGCCAGGACGGCCCCTGCAAACTTGCCGGGCGCTGCGGTGGGGGTGTGCCTGCCGGCGAGGTGGGTGCTGTGGGTGCTGGCGCCGTGTGGGTGCTGGCGAGGTGCGGCTCCGGCGGGGGTGCGGTGGAGTTTTCTCTTGGCTCGCGGCATCACCCACATTTGGAAAACTGCAGAGCCAGCAGCCGGCAGGGCCGGGAGGGCGCGTCCAGCTGGGAGGCAGGAACTTTGACTTTCGGGCATTTTGCAAGAGAGCAGCCGCCCCCAGCACGGGCAGCAGAGGGCGTGGGGGCTTCAGGGCTGGGGGGGGCACGATTCACCTGACACTCTGCAACAAAGCCCCAGCAGCTGGACATGGGGCTAAACTTACCCTGAACTTGCGGTACCCCCCACTGAGGTGCTGGTGGGGGGCAGGGATTCCCGAGCTGAGCGGTGGAAGGCCAGGCTGCCTCCGGTCGGACTCCGCACTTCTGCGGCTCTCCCAGCCACGTCAGGGTCAGGAGGCATTGACAGGGGCAGGGCAGGGCGGGGGGCGGGGGGCCTGCATGGGCGGAGACTAGGGGGGCTTCGGGGAGAGCAGCCCTGGGGGTCTGGGTCTGTGCGGGTCCCTGCTGGGGGGCTTCAGTTCCTCGTGGCCTCCCTCAGGCTGGTGCTGGGGGCCGGGGTGGCATCACAGCTGAAGAGCCCCCGACAAGGCCGGGGGCACCAGGCGCCAGCTCTGCTCACGGTGGGGTCTGCTTGGAGGTGGCTGGGTGCTTTTTTTCTATCTAGATGGGAAACTTTTTGAAAAGTGGCTGTGATTCGTTTGTGAATGGGCAGAAGTCCTATGGGCTCCGGCTGGGTCTGGGGTGACTCTCCTGCCCTTCCGGACTCCCAGCTTCCCCCAACCCCCATCCCCTGTGCCAGTGAGTGCCTCAGAGGTGGTGGGGGCTTGAGCCAGGCTTCGAGAGTGTCCCAGGCTCTGAGGGCTCCTGTGCCAGGAGGTGGGGACGTTGGGGAGGCCTTTTCCCTGGACTCGGGGGGCAGTTATGGTGGGGGTCTCGGGAGGGCGCAGACGAGCAGCCGAACCCCGGGCGCCCCTGAAGCGGAAGCGCAGGCTGCGGTGTCGGGTGCCCTTTTTGTATCCTTGGCTCCGCGAAAATGATAAATCACAGCAGCCACATGGAAATGGGACATCAGCTTCTGCTTCTTTCTGCCATTTGCTCTTTCCTTTGTAGAGGGGATGCCTTCCAGGGCCCTAAGCACAACCCACCCCCACCCCCACCCCGATGTAAAACTCCAACCCAGCTGTGCCCGGTCCAGCCACACAGCCACACAAGCACACAGCCACACAGCCCCATAGCCACACAGCCACACAACCCCATAGCCACACAGCCACACAAGCACACAGCCACACAGCCCCATGGCCACACAGCCCCATAGCCACACAGCCACACAACCCCATAGCCACACAGCCACACAAGCACACAGCCACACAGCCCCATAGCCACACAGCCACACAAGCACACAGCCACACAAGCACACAGCCACACGGCCACACGGCCCCACAGCTACACAGCCACATAGCCACACAAGCATACAGCCTGACAGCCACAGAGCCACATAGCCACACGAGCATACAAGCACACAGCCACACAGCCACACGAGCATACAAGCACACAGCCACACAGCCACACAAGCGCACAGCCACGCAGCCCCTGCCCCCCTCTCCAGGCACCTGCGGAGCCCTCTTTTCGCCTCTCACCACCTCACCTGCCAGGCTCGCCCTGGGCCGCCTCCTCCTCCTCTCCTTCCCCCTCCTCCCCATCTCTCCGCTCCAGCAGGTGGGGGCGGCTTCCCTTTCTGCTGGTGAGGCCTAACCTTGAGGTCCCATTGGTCTCCTT